GGCCGCCACATGGTTCGAGACGTGAGCTGCAAAAACTGCATAGCAAACTGGGATGGATCTATGAGTTTGCCACTGAAAACAGCCAGCGTTTTAAGGAAGGTCGTGTGATCCTGGAACGCGCTCTAGTTCGAGAAAGTGAGGGCTTTGAGGAGCATGTACCATCTGATAACTCTTGAAGAAAAAGAGAGAAATCCATCTTTCCCCAGGTCTCCTTCACTGAAAACAAAAATCTACTTACATACACAGTCACCTTAGCATCAGAGTCAGATTCATGAACTGCGGAACAAGAGGTTGTGAGAATCTATGATGGAACCTTCCTTTCTTTCCTTTTTTTTTTTTTTAATTTTCTATTTTCCATCCAACAGCAGTGTGTAGAGAGAATATTATGCAGATGTCTTTTTTTTCCCCCTGTGTTTACATCTTGAGGCAGAATAGTCTATCTGCAGCTACATGGTGGGCTATGTGAGAAAAAAAATCTGGGCTATTAAGAGTGAAAAAGTATTTTATGTAAATTTTGAAAGGAAAATGTGTCAAGAGCATGGTTTTTAAATTTATTTGGGCTTCATTTTAAGACTTTTTTTAAAAACCCAGTTATTTCACTTGATTTGCTAGCTTCAGAGAAGAGATCCGAATTTGTGACCAGCGCTAAAGGTTCAGTGTTAGTATTGCTTGTGCTGGCCATTGTGCCATATTCTTGTTGGAGATGAACCGTAGCATCAGAGCCCATTCTTCCTTGTCAGTCTTGACCCAAAGATGTCACCATTCCTAGTTATTTGTCACCACATGATTGGTGTTGATTGGAAACTTTTCCTGATATGGGGCAGAACTGCTTGGTTCTCTTTTCCATGTAACTTAAGCATAGTAATATAAATAAAGTAATAGTTGGATGTTTTTGGTCCTGTGTTGCTTTTAAAATCACCTTTCAAAAGAGCAGGGTATTTGATAAGTAATTTTCATAGTAGTGTTTCTTTTCATCTCTTAAACTAAATTGACTGTATATAAGATACTTGTTTGTTTAAATTAAAGCATACTGTTTAAAACCACAGTATTGCATTTAGAAAACAACTGAACAGAATGTCCGTGTGCATTCATGCAGAAAGCATTTCTTCTGCCTGTGTTTTCAGTAGAGGGAAGTGAAGCAGCCTATCTAAAAATGCTTTGCAAAGCATTTCAGCGTATCCTCTTCAGTTTTGCATTGATTTTGACAAGTCTATAGAGCCTGATAGTTACATCAAAGGATTTAGATCTCCTAGCATTGTTTTCTCAGATTTTCCCTCAGAAGTTTAGGTGTTGAAATTGAAACGGTACTTGGTCCCTTCGAGTTGATAGGGATCAAATTTGACTCAGGGGGTTATTTGAGCCCAAAATTTACAGCATTAAGAAGTATTAAAGTGTAAATGTTTCTTTATCCAAACCATTTCTAGGTATTTTAGTATTTGTTTCTGGTGGAATAAGTGGCATTAAAATTGACTAAATACTTCAATCAAAAAAAAAAGAAAAAAATTTTTTCAACACACTAAATTTAAACTTTTAAAGGCTTTAATTTTCTCAGCAATTTGGAAGTTTCCTGGCTTTGGCTTAAGCTAAATACTATTCTTTCTATTCATAACTACTGAGTATAACCTACTGAAAGTCTATTAAAGTAAATATGATACAAAATAGATAGATCAGGTTATACAATTTTACTAGTAGCATGGGGTGGATGACACAGCAAGATCATCTGTCAAAACCTTACTAAGTTTATACAAGGCAGGAAGGATTAAGATTCAGTCTTTTTTAATTAAAAAAACACACCCTAATTTTCATTGTTTTTCAAAAAATATGCAATAAAATAAACATTGCTAACAGAATGTTGTCAAATAGTGGTTATTCGCAACTAGCTTAAGTGAATCAATGCAAATGATTTGTAGATAAAATACTAATTTTTTGCAAATAGATATTTCTGAAGCCTCTATATCCGTATTTAACTTAGATGTAGCATACTATATGTATTCTTTATTTGCATATGTGCTATCAATTTTTCTTTCATTCTTGTTACTGATAAAAAATAACTATATATATATAAATATAAATATCTGACTATATACCTACCTATCTCTCTCTCTATCAAGCTATCTTCTATCAGTAAAGCTACTTGAAAAAAGCTCTTTATTCATATTGGCCAAAACAAATTTGATAAGTCTTTTATGGATAAATATTATGATGTGAACTAGAAGTCAGGCTTTGCCAAAATTATCACAATCACCATTTTGAAATGATAGTTACTAAAACAAGGATACAATTATGCAGAGTTTAATCAGACTGGAATATGTGAATTAACTGTAAAAAAAACAAAAACTGAAATATAATCAGCAATTAAGATGCAAGTACTTTTTAGCATTTTAAAATACTAACTACAAGCTGCATTTTCTGTTTAAATTTTCATTTCACTGACTGCCTGATTGTATCTTAGGCTTGTCTTATTGACTGCTGACCTTTTCCTGTCATTGGATGTTAAACACCATGCAATAAATGCCTTACAATGTAATATGGCCTGAAATGGATCAGTAAGTTAAATGTGACCATAAGAAATGGATCCAATTCTTGACTTAGCAGAGACTAAATCTTATTTATAAGGTTCCTTTATTCCATTTCATTTTTTTCTAGTATATTCATGTACTAAATACTATTACCAATCAAATTAGTGGTGATTTTAGTCTTTTATCACCAAAACCATTGTTTCAGTGTTTCATTAGTAAAAGGCAACAACATAATCTTATTGACTGTGAGGCTATTGTCTGGTCACTTCCTTTTTAAACCTCAGGCCTTAGGACACAGTACTTTTTAGATCATGTCTAAGACCTTCTATAGAGGGTGCTATGATGTTGGGAAAGAAGAAATGCCTTAAGTCCTCTGTTATGTTAAATATCCCAAATTGAGCTATGATGAGAAAGTAAACTAGGCATAGGAAATAATACATTTTTTGTATATTTTAACCATGATGTAATTATTATGAATGTTCCATGTATAATGATATTATATGTAGTTTAAGATCCAGTTAGTAAGACTAGAAAATAAATCAATAGTGGACGCTGAATCATTATTTTCATTTAATGATACAATAGTTAGCATATTTAAAATTGAGGGATGTTTTCTTGCCCTCATGTACGTTGAGGTTCTCCTCCCTCTCACAGGGAAGGGACAACATTAATGCCCTTTATTTAACTTACTATGCTTTATGTAATACACGTGACTTTTAGACTTGTGGTTACAGAAAAGAACAACCTGCAAAAAAGCAGTAAGGACTCCATCATGCTCAGGATCCAAAAAAAGAAAATCTAGATCTTATTGATACCTAATCAAGCCTCTTTGGTTTTCTTCACTTAGTGTGATGGAATCAGCCAATGATTAAATTGACAAATCAGCGATTTAACTGTATAATCTTGTTCAAGACTGATCACGTTGGTTAATAAACAACATGTCAAACTTGAAAACACTGAAAAACTCGTTTTTATTTTCTTTGTTGTTTTCTTTCATTTTAGTTTTTAGTTTGAGGACCATGAATAGTATTCAAAGTTTCCCAACATATGGCAGTAATTTTTTTCACAATTCCTTTCTCAGACTAACTGCATATTAGAATAACCTGAAAACTTTAAAAACTGCTAATATCTGAGTTCCATGTTCAGAAACTATGATGTAACTTGGATGGCAGCCTGGTTACTGGGTTGCATACTATCTCCCCCAGGTGATTGTAATGGGCAGCAGATTTGGCAACCACAGGTATATATAAATATTATATTCTTCTTACAACTCACTGCTGGATTGTCATCCAACTTTTTCAAGCATCTTATTTACCAACTAAACGGTCTCCCTATCTCTCTCTTTCTTCTTACTATAGATTTTTCTATCAAAACTTGAATGTGCCTTATATTTTAAAAAAGTAATGATTCTGATGTGCTTATTCTGTAGTTTGTGTGCTTATTCTGTACCATTTTACATGTGTTAGAGGCAAAGACAATAATGTTTAGCTGTGTTTATTTTTATTAAAAGAAACTCATTGAAGGTCAAGTCACCTCCTGATTGCACAGATTAAATAGGAAACTGTTACTTATTTCATCTTTACAAAGCATCTTACTGATTTTAAAAGATCTGTACTATTGATAAAGTTCATGATGAAACATATATGTAACAAGGAGACTAAAATATTTATTTTACATATCTACAGTATGTATTGTCATACTTCTAGATCAACCACAAATTATACAGGAAAACATTAAGGTACATGAAAAAACTTCGAAACATAAAAAATTAACATTTTGAAAAAAATCTTGTGAAAGCTCATTAAATAATAACATTGACAAATAAATAGTTAATCAGCTGTACTTATTAGCTGCTGCCATGCATTTCTGGCATTCCATTCCAAGCAAGGGTCAGCATGCAGGGTATAATTTCATACTATGAGACTGTAAAAAGCTACAGGGCTTATTTTTGAAGTGAAATGTCACAAGGTCTTTCACTCTTTCAAAGGGAGATCACTCTTGGCAGCTAAACTGTTCCCATGAAGATTACCAAAAGAGCACCCTTCTGAACTGTTAACCTGAAGATTCATGGCAACAGCTCTTTTTAAATTTTTCAATTTCGAAGAAGTTTTTTTGAGTGTGGGGTGGAGAGGATGGTTTGGGAAATGAAGGGTTACTGAGAAGCCCTTTTCCATGTTAAAAAAGTGAAGATTCAATGATGGGTATAGTATCACCCGTCTTTCAAGAGCCATGGGGAATTAATACTACAGGATGCGTGGAATTTAAAGGCAAATCGCATTCATGGATACTTATACATCTTGAAAAACTTGAAAAATCTATCTCCCAAGAAGCTCCTGATTCTCAGGACAGCTGGCTGAGTTTGATAAAGCAGAAAGCATATATTTTCAAGTAAGAAAATAGCAGTGGCAGGCTCGAGTGGTCCAAGCAATCAGATCTGTAAAGCAGATGGCTCCTAGTCAGTCCGGTCCGGCGGTCTGGGTTCTAGCTCAGGCCGTGTTTGCTGGGTCTGCCAGCCCGCTTGCGCTCGCGGGGGTGCTGGGCCGGCTTGGCCGGCGCCGGGCTCTCGAAGTTGTGGCTGGACTCGTTGTGCTGCCGCGTGTATCTTTTGCACTTGCAGGCGGTGACCACGGTGATTTTGTAGGTGCGCGTGCTGCCGTCCTGGCACTGCAGCTGGATTCGCTGGGTGCGCGTCTTGTCATTGACACACCTCCACTCCTGGGAGCTCCTCCGGCTCCAGTACTTCGTTCCGTAGCCCCCTCCGATCCAGTTAGGCAGCACAGGCAGGGGCAAGCACTCGCCCGCACACACCAACTCTTTCAGAGGGCTGATGCTGGTGCACTGGCCGTCCGAGATGTATTTGGTGGAACGCAGTTCTCGGCAGCCTACTTGAACTCGAGCTGCAAGAAAGAGAAAAATATATATATACATACACACACACACACACATATATATGTATGTATATATATGTGCATGAGAGGCATAGGCAAACACTTTAAAAAAAAAAGTAAAAGTAATCTGCAATGACAAAAAATGATGTCCAAATGATAGCAAATTGGCCAATAGGAAGTGAACTCTTATTTTGTTCTCACAATGCAAAAATCCACCTGGATGGTTATAGAGAAAGCTTGCATGAAAATTATCAGCTATGGGATAAAATTAACTGAGCCTGATTTGTTTTTTCATGTGTAACATTAGCTAATTGCTTACTGGAGTATTTGAAAATCCCATTTTCTTAGTTTTACTCCCTCGATAAGTATTAAGCAGCTCTAAGTTTTATGTATGAATATTCATTCTTTAATGAGCTAAGAGGGAGTATATGTTCATGTTCTTCACTCACAGGTCTATTAGTTAATGTCTCCAAGTGATTTTAATTAGGTTTTTCAAAAAATCTATTGAGAAAATGTGGAAAGAATTTGAATATTGTGTACAATGAAATCCATAATATTTTGTTTCAATTATAAAATTCAGCTGCAGAGAATCATATATACATATGTGTACAATGTCTGACATTTTTGCATATCAAACTTAATAACTACAATTTGAACATAAATTCCCAAACTATCTTTTAAAAACACAAATATTAAAATGCTTGAAAAGCAAAATGTCACTACAACTCAACATTTAAAGAATATAAAAGCTCCTAAATCAGGAACGTATGGTTGCCATAACAACTTGGCCACATTTCCGTGAATTTTATGGCAGAAAAATGCCTAACATGTCTGATTTACAACTGCAAAAGGAACCACGGTGTTTGTTTCCTGAATATTGGTCATAGCAAACTTTGTTTAGTCATTTGAATTTGATAAGTATGTTCTCTAATAGACTGTTTCTTGTTACATGCCTTATGTAATTAAAGCAAAAATTAGTCTTGAAATATTTGGGTTTTCTTTTCCATTGCTTTGTTATCTAAACTTGAGAAGAATTGCCTGTAACAAGCTTGGGGAAAAAATCCAGCCTTGTTAACCAGAAATATACATATATTTCAAAGTACAGACTGCTGAAATTTAAAAAAATTAAGATTATAAGGGACATTAAAGTGGTCTTGCGTAGCATATTGAAAGGTAATATGAAGTAGATATTGAATTAGGAGTGTTACTTCAGCACTGTGCCCCAGAACTCATAAAGTAAAAGATATAGTCTAAAGGGGTGTGATAGTTGTGAAAATATGTAATGTATAAACATATACCTCTGTACAAATATGGAGTGTGAGATTGAAATTAAAGTGTAACCTAGCTGGCCAGTCAGCATACTCTGCCTGTCTGATTCTGACTCCAGCTCACCTTCCTGCAGCTGCCTTAGGAATGCACCTGGAAACAGCCGAGATGATTTTGACCTGCCAGCTTTTTGTTCCTGTGTATATAGAAATTTGGCAGTGACAGTTCACTGACAATGAATACCCACCACCTTGCTTGGTAATCTAATAATAATCAGATAGTTCTTCTATATGTAAAAGCAAGCATCCTAATGAAAGTTAAAAAACACCTTGATTTTCTTAGAAAGACATAAACAGTCATATTTGCTTTAATTTTACAAAGGTTGAAACTCTTTTCAGCACTTGAATAGAGTTGAGGAGGAGCAAAAAGATTTGTATAAAATTTCCTGTGAACTCTTTCTCTGTGTCTCTCTTAAAGTCCAATTACTAGCATGTGAAAGGAGTGAAGCAAAAGTTAGGAAAAGACATTTGAATCCCTCCAACTAGTGGTCAACAAGTATGTCAATTAAGCAAACAGAATAAGAAGAAAAATAGTTTTTTATACAAAGTATTATTGTACTGTCATTATTTTAAATCTCCAAACTCATAAAAGTTTCCCTGGTCTTTCACAGAAATTATAATTGCCTACATTTTGATCCAGTGAATAAGAAGTTATTTCAGAAAAATATGACTCTCCAATGTTTAGTTTTATCCCTCTTTCTCAAAGATCATCATCCAAAGTTCATTTATTTCACTAGACATTTTTTAGAAATTGGTGTCTTTTTTTTTCCCCCTCAGAAAGCTTCTTTTTCTTCCCCTTGTGATTTCCCATATGTGCTTTGGTTATTTACCTTTATACACTCTACCAGAACTGCACATGTTTTGAAATAAACAGAACACAATCTGAATTTAAGCTATCTAGAACAACACTTCATGAAAAAAATCTCATTCTGCATTTCAAAGAAGCAACACTTTAATTCCTGGAAACATTTTCTCTTGGAATGTTGGAAAACCGAAGCCTGTGCCTACATTATCAAATCACTGTTTTAGTTCTGTTAACTTTGTAGGGAAGAACGCCAGTCTACACATGCAGTGGATTGCTCCCAGACCGTTTAGCAAAACATATATGGTTCAGGTTAGTTAGCAATGAAATAATTCGATAGGAATGTGAGTTAATGCTACCAAATAAGAACACCAAATTCATGCAAGTAAAATACACTTACTGTTCCGATCCAGTCCAGCGTTATTGAAATGCCTGCCTCCATTTCTGGCTTGATTCATTGTGCTGTTGCTGCTGGGGTGTGCTGGAACAGGTTTAACCACATGTGAATAAAGGATTTCTGTGGCATCATTTTTAAAAGCCAAACAGCTTTTCATTAGGATGCATGCAAGGGGAATGAGAGAGAAATGAATGGCAGGAGGAAGCATGTTGAGTAGAGGATTTGCTTGGCTGGAGAGCTGGTTAATTCCTTTCCCTCTGCTTCTGCACTGTAACTGTGAAATTCCTCCTCAAGGTTCCCTTTATATATCCACTGAGGTTTGGCGTTCATTCAGGTGTAAAGTTGTGTAGCGCTACAGAGTGAAAACACGGAGAAGGGGTGGGATCCCTACATGACCCTGCGAAAGAATTTTACCAATGGAAGAGAAGACTACAGAAAAGGAGGAGCTTGGTATCCAAATTGCCTGAAATTTCAGAGTTGGACTTCATCAGTTGTCTGTGAGCTGAAGCAGCCAGGCACATTCTATAGCAACTACAGCCCTTCTCCCTCCCTCTTCTCTCTCTCTCTGCCATTTCCTTTCCTAAATCTAGTTCACATTCGGGTTTCATTTAAATGAAAATATGCTGCTGTTCATTTGAAGACATTTACATTCCCGCCGTTGTTCTGTATTTGTAGTAGGGAGGGGCCTCACCCCAGATAATAGGAGGAATTCAGGAGTTGAAATATTGTAGGGCTCGAATGAAGCACCTAATTAGTTAAACATTTCTCGTTTGTCAAGATACAAACCACCTTTTTTTCTTGTTTTCTGAAAGTATAAGGCACAGAGCTAAAAATCTGCCCCCAGGACACACTTGAATAATGCAGCTTTGATCTGCATGAACTGCTGCGCTCCGAGGTAAATTATTGCCAGGGGTTCTGTGTGGAGAGTAATGAGCAGAGCTCTGTCTGCATTAAAGTAACTAATATCCATTTGCATCTTAAAAATAGGACCCAAGCATTACCATTTATAGCATCATTTTACATGAAAGCCATTTCTGACTGGTTATTTTGCAAATTCAAGTTAATTTTTGCGAGGTTTTCTTGGGCTGCAGAACAGTATTCTACCTCCATTTACTCAACATTCTGTTCATGACTTCCTTTGGCTCTGCTGCTCATGTAAGAAACAAGGTATTTTTCTGTTTATCCACACATGACACAGATGTTCCATTAATGACTACCAGGGATCTCTAAGGGCTTCCCAGGTGGTGCTCGTGGTAAAGAACCCACCTGCCAATGCAGGAGACATAAGAGACACAGATTCGATCCCTGGGTTGGGAAGATCCCCTGGAGAAGGGCATGGTAATCCACTCCAGTATTCTTGCCTGGACAATCCCATGGACTGAGGATCCTGGTGGGCTAACAGTCCATGGGGTTGCAAAGAGCCGACTGAAACAACTTAGCATGAGTGGACACAAGAATCTCTATCCTTAAAACAGTAATGAAATTCCAACCGATTGGTGGGATATCTTGATGGGAATCAAAATTCTGAAACTGTTGTCAATTTTAATTCCATTTTTGCCCTTTGTGTGGCTATTAAATTGACCCTATAGGATGGATATATCTCACCTCTTTATAAACTTTTACCTATTGTTACTGCTGTTTGGAGCTTCCTAGGTGGCTCAATGGTAAAGAATCCACCTGTCAATGCAAGAGATGCAGGTTTGATCCCTGGGTTAGGAAAATCCCCTAGGAATATGCAATGCACTCCAGCATGCTTGCCTGGAAAATTCCATGGACACAGGAACCTGATGGGCTACAGCCCATGTCACAAAGAGTCAGACACAGCTGAGTGACTCAGCACACACACATATACAACTGCTATTCATATCTATCTGTCCATCACCTGGGCTTTTCCACAGTGGCACTATTGGCCACTATTTTGGAATAGATACCTATTTGTTATGGGTGCTGTCCTGTGAGTTTAGCAGCATACCTAGTTTCTACCCAGTCGATGCCAGTAGCACCCCCAGTTATAACCAAAAATATTGTTGCCAAAAGATCCCTGTGAGCTAAAAAATCACCCCAGTTCAGGACTACTTTTTGTCTATCATCTCACCATAAAAAGAAAGTACAATTAAGAACAAAACATTCATGATTTAGTAGCACTAAGAAATTACCGTATCTTTTAGGAGAAAAATGTTACTGTGGCTTTATGTAAAAACAACTGCTTCTCTTTTAGAATTAAATACTGAAATATCCTTAGATGAAATCATATGATGCCTGGAACAAAACTTCAAAAACAACATAGGAAGTGCGTGTGGATGGTGCTTGATTTGATGGTTGTTGAGGCTGGATTCTGGATATTCTATTTTGTTTACTATTGTGTATGTTCGAAATTCTACATAATCAAAAATTTTTTAAAACCCGAATTAAAAAATCTCAATGTATACATACTGTCAATCACATCTCTATCTTAAGACTATATGTAGTCATTTATTCTAACATTCTTCCTGGAAAATTATGTATGTGTTTATTCTATGCACATAGAAATTATAGATCAGACATCCTTCTAAAATAGAAACAATGAAAAACTTTTTTTTTTTTTGCTTTACAATATTTTTTGTTTGTTTTTTATTGGGGTATAGTTGCTTCACAATGTTGTGGTAGTTACTGCTATATGGTGAAGTGAATCAACTACCAGTATTAGTTCAGTCGCTCAGTCATGTCCGACTCTTTGCGACCCCATGAACCGCAGCACCCCAGGCCTCCCTGTCCATCACCAACTCCCGGAGTCCACCCAAACCCATGTCCATCGAGTCAGTGATGGCATCCAACCATCTCATCCTCTGTCATCCCCTTCTCCTCCTCAATCTTTCCCAGCATCAGGGTCTTTTCAAATGAGTCAGCTATATGTATATATGTATCATCTCCTTTTTGGATTTCCTTCCCATTTAGATCACCACAGAGCATTAAGTAGAGTTCCCTGTGTTATGCAGGAGGTTCTCATTGGTTATCTCTTTTATACATATTAATGTATATACGTCAATCCCAATCTCCCAATTCATCCCACCCCTTTCTACCCCATTAGTATCCATATGTTTGTGTCTCTATTTCTGCCTTGAAGACAGGTTCATCTGTACCATTTTTCTAGATTTCACATTATGCACTAATATATGATATTTGTTTTTCTTTTTTTGACATATTCTTTCTGTATGACAGTCTCTAGTTCCACCCACATCTCTAGAAGTGACCCAATTTCATTCATTTTTATGGCTGGTAATATTCCATTGTATATATGCACCACACTAGAGTGTCTTATCCCGCTTATCAGGGGACTTCATGTTAAATACATGAAGCATATTAATATTAACCATTGACTGGTAGACCCAATGCCTAAAGGAAGTAACAGGATCAAAATAGCTAATTTCTTTCCCTATACTATTTTTTGGGCCTGGTGTGTGTGTTAGTCACTCAGTCATGTCCACCTCTTTGCTACCCCATGGATTATATAGCTCGCCAGGCTCCTCTGTCCATGGAATTCTCCAGGCAAGAATACTGGAGTGGGTTGCCATTCCCTTCTCCAGGGGATTTTTCTGACCCAAGGATTGAACCGAGGTCTCCTACACTGCAGGCAGATTCTTTACTATATGAGGCAGCAGGGAAGTCCCACTCAACAGACTCTTTTTTTTTTTTCAGTTGCCTAGAGGTGCCATGCTGTGCCAAGTTGTTTCGCTTGTCTGACTCTTTGTGACCCCATGGACTGTTAGCCCACCAGGCTTTTCGGTCCGTGAGATTCTCCAGGCAAGAATACTGGAGTGGTTTGCCGTGTGCTCCTCCAGGGGATCTTTCTGACCCAGGGATCAAACCCGTGTCTCCTGTGGCTCCTGCATGGCTGGTGGATTCTTTACATTTGAGCCACTGGGCAAGCCTGTTTTTTTATGCCTGGAGGAGGAGATTACTATTATTATTATTGTTATTATTATTTTGGCTACACTGCATGCTTGTGGGATCTTAGTTCTCCAAGCAGGGATTGAACCCAGGCCTAGCATGGAGTCCTAACCACTGGAGGAGGAGGAGATCATTAAATTTTCAGTTTAATTGTCAGATTGTTAATCAACTTGCTCAAACTAACTCAAAAGTGTTAAATATGCTCTGTCTCTAGTATTCTGTATGTGCAGCCTTAGCATATTACGTCTGGCAGAAGCAAAATTAGGAATGAAATTAGGAAATTCAACATTCAGATGTGACTTCTATGATTGGGTTACCAAAACACTGTGACTTTCAGTTTTGCTTGCCTGCTCTAGCTGTCTCACTTGTTTCTATGGACATCAGCTTCCATAATGTAAACTTTCCTATGCAGAAACCCCAGTGGCGCAAAACAGGTGTCTCTCACCAGTAAGGAATAGAAGCCCTCAGCCGAATAACCCATGAGGACTTGAATTCTATCAATAACCACAAGAGTGAATTTGAAAGCAAATATCCCCACAGCCAACCCTTCACATGAGACTGCAGCCCTGACTTAACACCCTGAAATGATAAAAGTTTTAACTAAGTTGGGGTACTTTTTTACACAGCCATAAATAATTTACACAATATTATCTGCTTTAAAATGAAGATATAATCATTAAGCCATTCATTTCATGAAAAATGCTAGAGTCTTGAAAGATTAGATATGGAATCATTCAATATGGTGACTGAGTAACTTTCATTCTTTGGGAAAGCTTTGAAATTTATTTCCCAGTCCTCAGCTGAATCATCAGTATGATGCCATTATTAATAATCAAATAATATCAGAACTGGACTTCCCTGGTGGCTCAGATGGTAAAGTGTCTGCCTACAAGGCGGAAGACCCAGGTTCAATACCTGAGTCAGGAAGATCTTCTGGAGAAGGAAATGGCAACCCACTCCAGTATTCTTGTCTGGAAAATCCCATGGATGGAGGAACCTGGTAGGCTACAGTCCATGGGGTCGCAAAGAGTTGGACACAACTGAGTGACTTTACTTCACTAATATCATAATTACTACTGTTAGTCTGATATGCAAAAGCTTGAAAGTAACTTTAATACTCAAAAATGGTGTTATCATGTGACTCCTGGCACTGGACTCAGAAAACCTGAATTTGAATCTTATTTCTGTCATTATAATCTGGGTGAACTTGGATGTATTTCCTAAAACTCTTTAAGTCAGTTCCTTCAGCTGTAAAACATGACCAAATTTACCTACCTCACA